AGCAATGACATCGGGAAATATATCGCTGTTGGCTGGTACCAACTGCGCCCAGGCACGGCCTCTAAAACCCTGATTTATGAGGTGAATAGATGGCCCTCAGGGATCCCTGACCGCTTCTCTTGATCCAAGTCTGGGAACACGGCCTCCCTGACCATCCCTGAGCTCCAGGTTGAGGACGAGGCTGATTATTACTGCAGCTCATATACAAGTAGTAGCACTGTGCACAGTGGCCCCAGTTCATGGAGAAGTGAGACGGAAACGTCCTCTGAGCTCATTCATCCCTTCGCTCCTAAACTGAGGCTTTCATTTGTTTTTGCTATTATTTTGTAGTAATTAAAAACTTTAATAAAAATTTAAAGGTCTATAAGGAAGTCTTGTAGAACCTTTTCCCAGATTCACTATTTTTTAATACTTTGCAAGATTCGCCTTTCTCATATCCCATTTAATCTCATTCTCTCTCTGCCTTTGTATGTCTATACGCACACACATCCATACGCACACACAGCACACAGGAACACAAAACATTTATTTTCTGAATCATTTGAGTGTAATTTGCATCTATCAGTAACCAAGCCTTCATATTCTTTCTACCATAGGCTTCACAATCCATAACATACATCATTTTAAGGTGATTGATCCAGTGGTTTTTAATGTATTCACAAGTTTGAACATCCGCTAACATTCAATCTTCCAGGATGTTTGCATCCCCGGAAAAGGAACACCTCATCTGTCACCAGGCGATCCCCTTTCCCTGTCCCTCCAGCCCTCCACACAGTAATGTACTTCCTGCCTCTTCCAGATTCTGCACACAAAGGCCATGATACCCTATGTGGCCCTTTGTATCTGGCTTCTCTCGTTCTTTAAAATGTTTTCAATGTTCTTTCCCCTTGAAGCACATATGAGTACTTGATTCCTTCTTATGGCCGAATAATACTGCATCGTCAACATCGACCTCCTGGTTTTGAACATCTGGGTGGACCCAAGCATAAGCACCAGAACTGGGCCATGACCAAGTCTCCTGATTGCCAGAAATTTCCCAGTTTTACCACTGAAACTGCCCTTTTGTGGCTGGGACCTCATCGTGGGGCAAATCAGCGTGGATGGTCACTGAGATGGTTAAATTTATGTGTCACTTGGACTGGTCACAGGGGACTCAGATGAAGCATTATTTCCGGATGGGTCTGGGCAGGTGTTCCCGGATGAGATGAGCATTTGAATCTGGGGACTCAGTAAATACATTGCCCTCCCCAGTGTGGGTGGGCATCGCCCAATCTGCTGAGGGTCTGTGTAGAGCAAAAGGAAACGGCAGGAGATTTCACGTCTGTGTTCTCTTCTCACTGGACGAGCTGGGACATTTCACCTCAACTTCTCCAGCCCTCAGACTGGAATTTACATCACTGGCTGCCCTGGTTCCCAAATCTTTGGACACAAACTGAATTACATCACCAGCGTTCCCAGCTTTCAGGCTGAAGGGATCAGCTCCTGGGAGTTCCATGCTCAATAATCAATAATAATCTATCTCCCTCTCAGTATATATATATTACTTACATAAAATTCTTCGTTATCTATATGTATATATTTCCTTTGTTTTGTTTCCCTCGAGAACCCTGACTAATACAATCCTCTTACCAGGAAGCTCAATCTTCTCATAATGTTCTCATCATCACTATTTTTTCTCAGCTTTTACCTGTTACCTTCTTTCTTTACTTATAAACACATAGGTCAGTATCATCATGCTTGAATCACCTTGGTTTCAACAGGGTCATACAGGGACCCCCAGCAGCACTGGGTCACAGCACAGGGTGAAGGGTTCTCAGTTACTAGACACTGAACCGTGTCCTGAGTCAGGGTCCCTTGTGTGTGAGGCTGGTGAGACGCTGCAGCTGCCCGACAGGTGTGTGTCCTGGTGGAGACGACAGAGGTGGCACAGAGGCCACTGTCCCAGGATCCTCTGTGGCACCTGTGGGGAGACGTGCTCCCTGAGTGTAAGGGCACCAGCGGGATCTTTACCAAGAGTCAGCTGTGCACAGGGGTCGGGAGCCACCATTGCCTCTCTGAGTGTCTGCTGTAAAGCTGGGATACAATCTCCTGATTCGAAATTAGTTACTGTTTTTACAACGGGGATAATTCCCAACAAAACCCCATGGTAGGTGTGGCGAGCAGAGGATGCTTCAGTAGGAGATTCTGGGGCCACCACTGTCCCGGTGTGCAGTGTGTGGAGTCTCAGGCTATAGTGGCAGCTTCCTGTGATGCTTCAAATAATTTAACTATATATGAATATAATTTTACAATGATGCGAGAAAAGCCACTTTGGGTGGAGGTAACATGAAATGGCTTAGCTTTCTCTATGGTCAGGATATCTGCCACTGTTGTTAGTATTGACCGCAAGGAGGGATCAGCATCGCTGGGCTGTTACCTTTATGTGTCCATTGAATTTCTGGGTTAGGTGTCATTAAACTTTTCTGGATATTTTTATCTTTCTTTTCTTAAACTGTTAGTATTTAATGAATCCCAGATTTAATTTTTCCAAAAAGGTAAGAATCCAGTAATTGATTTTAGTGATTCTTAAGAGGTATCTGCTTTTACTTTATTGCCTATTACTCCTATTATGTGTTAGTAGTAATTTCCCTCCTTTAGTGGCAGTCATTCTTATTATATTTCCGTCATGTCTTACTGAGTGGGCACAAGCATCTCAGGAATTTTTTGTTTGTTTGTTTGTTTTTCTGTACGCGGGCTCTCACTCTTGTGGCCTCTCCCGTTGCGGAGCACAGGCTCTGGATTCGAAGGCTCAGCGGCCATGGCACACGGGCCCAGCCCCTCCGCTGCATGTGGGATCCTCCCGGAGCTGGGCAGGAACCCGTGTCCCCTGCATCGGCAGGCGGACTGTCAACCACTGCGCCACCAGGGAAGCCCCATCTCAGGAATTTTTAATTCAACTGTGACACCCGAATCATGAGGGGCCCTGAGTTGCTGCTTGTGTGAACAACCGTGCAGCAGAGGCAAGACAGCTCCCGTGACCCCGGGGTTTACTTCTTGCAGGAAGCACTGGACACCTGGAGTGATCACAGGAGGCCTGTCCACAGCAGTCCCCAGATATAAAGATCCAAACTGCTGGGTTCTGACCTGGTGTCAGATGCCTGACTGATTGACTTGTGAGAAGGTCCTGAACCAGTCCCCGCTTTATTATAATCTCAAAAAAAGACATCGTTAAGTGAATGTCTACATAGTACAGCACATACCTCTGTGAAACACACGCCAACAATTGTCTCAAATCCAGAGCTCACACCTCCTCGCACACTTTTCCTTTCCCGTCCCCAGAGGGCCCCCTTCACCCACCCCAAGCTTGGCCAGGGCCTCACCCCCTTCTCTCCTGGAATGTGGTCGTGTGATATGAACAGTGATACTGAAAACCTTCATCAAAGTATTTGTGTTTCATAAACTCCTAGTCCATTGCCTGAGGGGTCATGTCCATTTCCATCCCGAAAGGACCCGTCATCCTGAATGTAATATTTACTGCAAACTCAGCTCTTTCTGGAAAAACACCCTTGGGGAAGTGTGTCTGTGATGAAGAGCCTTGACCTCAGGAAGGTGCCAGGCTCTGAGGTGAGGGCTTCTCAAAGGCACAAAGGGGAAGACAGGGAAAGTCTGTGTCCCCATGACCCCCGCCCCCAAGGATAGGACCCAGAGCTGGACCCCCAGGCCCCTCCTGACCCGGTCCCTCCTCCAGAGCCTCAGCCCCAGAATCTGCCCCTTGATTCCCTGGGTCATTCTCTGTCTGGACGGAGCTCTCTCTGTGTCTCACATTATCCTTTTTTCTATATTTGAGGATTCAGGCATTTCTCGAGGGCCTGTTTCTCTCCTCGGCATCCTTAACGAGATAGGATTAACTTATATCTCAGGTTCTCTGGGTCCTGAGCCCACTTCCATCCCCCATCACCAACCCTGTGACAAGGCCCTCCTGGGATGAGCGAGGTGACCCCGAGGGGGGCATCTGGGCCTCCTGATTTTGCAGGTGACGTACCTCATTCTGGAGGAAGTCGAGGAAACGTGAGGCTTGTCTGCAGGGATGGGGGCCTAGCACTGAGCTGGCGAGGGGGAGACCTGGGCGTTCATCCCAACTCGGCTGTCTCCCTGGGCTCAGCTCTCACCACTGAGGCCACTGGGGGGCAGCAGGGCCCGGACTTGGGGGAGGTTGTCTGTGTTGCCATTCTGTCCTGTTCAAAATCTCAGCAGCTGCTCCCGAGACAGGCCTGAGGAGGTCACGAGGGAGGGGTGTCCAATATCTACCATATCCCATAATTCCTGTAGTGGACATGCCAGGGAGCATCTCCAATCTCAAACCACCACAGAGCAGCGGAGAGAGTGATGCCTGAGCACCTTAGCCTAGGGGACTGGGGAGGGCATGAGGGACAAGGAGAGGGTCCCCGGCTCTGCCTGAGTCCCTGGAAGAGGGGCCACGGGATGGGCCCTCCTCCCCGGCATAGGTGCCCTGCTCCCCTCCTCCTTGCAAAAGGAGGGGAGACCTAGGATCCCTCTGCACCCACCGTGGCTCCCCCCAGGAGGAGAGGACAGAGCCAGCGGGGCCCCGGGTGCTGGCCTGCGTCACCTGCTCAGTCTGTCCTGAATCAGAAAATACAGGATGACCTGTTTTAATCTCTCAGGCAGCTCTGCTGTCCAAGGGCGCAGACGTTACCAGAATCAAGGGCTAGAGCGGAGGAGGTGCGGACAGGCAGCACAGGGAGCAGATTTGCATGGAGGCCCCTCCCTCCTCTGGGGGAGAGGGGATAAGAGAGGTCTGGGGGAGCAGGCCCAGGGCTGGGGCTCAGAAGGCAGCGTCTGGGTGTCTCCACCATGGCCTGGGCTCTGCTCCTTGTCACCCTCCTCACTCAGGGCACAGGTGAGGCCTCCAGGGAAGGGACCTCGTGGACATCTGGCTGATCCTTTGTGTCTTTGTCCTCAGGATGACAGAACTGACCAGAGTGTGTTTCTCCTCTTTGCAGGGTCCTGGGCCCAGTCTGGCCTGACTCAGCCTCCCTCAGTGTCCGGGAATCCGGGACAGACGGTCACCATCTCTTGTGCTGGAACCAGCAGTGACATAGGGTACTATAACGGCGTCGGCTGGTACCAACAGCTCCCAGGAACGGCCCCCAAAACCCTGATTTATGAGGTGAATAAACGGCCCTCAGGGATCCCTGATCGCTTCTCTGGCTCCAAGTCTGGCAACACGGCCTCCCTGACCATCTCTGGGCTCCAGGCTGAGGACGAGGCCGATTATTACTGTAGCTCAGCTACAAGTGGTTACAGTGTACACAGTGGTCCAAGTTCATTGGGAAGTGAGACCAAATCCTGCCGTGGCTCACAGGCTCCCCATTGCTGTGACTCTGCTGGCTGCTCATCTGCATCTGTGGTTGAAGCCCTGACAGCTGAGAGGAGATCTGAGCACCCTGCAGACGGATGAGGAGAAAGAACAACGAGTGGTTTTCATGTTTGTTGTCCTTCCTGTTTGACCTGCATCTGAGTGGGCTGAGCCTGGGAGGGTTGGGGACACAGTCTGGGTCTCAGAATTGTCTCTGTCCTGGCATCGGTGAACCCTGTCTGGGCACAGCCCTACAGGAAGACAGTCTCCCAATACGATGGGCTCTTTGCAACATGGCTCCAGTATGGAGGGTGGGTTGGAGGGTATGTCCTCCCTTCCTCAGTGATATCAAGGTCCCATGTTTCCATGAAGAGCCAGTGCGGCTTCCAGGTGGAATCCCAGCACATGTAACACGCGTGAGAATTCATTGAAAAACAGGCGTGAGTGTCGTGGCTTCAATATTAAATTTTTCTTGAACCTGAAAGGCAGTTTTCAAATGGAAACATGACTAAAATTTAAATTATGTGAATTCAGTAGTTAAAAAATAGTTTTTTTTAATGTTTTGATTTGGTTTTTGCTGTGTTTCCTGCGACCATGCCACGCAGCTTGTGGGATCTATGTTCCCCGACCAGGGATCGAAACTTCACCCCCTGCAATGTAAGTGCTAAGTCTCAACCTCTGGACCGCCAGGGATATCCCAAATTCAATAGTTTAGACGAAAAAGTACGTTGGTTGGATTCCTCAGGACACATCATCCCCACAGTAACAAGTGAGGAGGAACATTTGATAGCTGTGTGTTCAGGCGTCTAGGACTGGAGAGCAGCTCTTTCTGTGGTCCTGGCTCCTGGCTCTCATGAAGTTGGAGTCACGTGTCAATCGGGCTGTTTTCACGTGTCAATCGGTCCTCTAACTTTGGAAGACGCGTCGTATATGGCTCACTCTGTGCCGGCCCTGGGCTCGCTTTTCTTGTCTAAATCATCTTCCTGATAAACCTGATTTTTTTTAACCCAACCAATTAGGCCCCTTATTTTCCAAGTCTATGTTAGTCTCAATCTGTGTATTCATTTGTCTTTATCACAGCATTTTACAAATGACCAGAGTCTTTGGTCTTTGTATCTATATCATCAGAGCTCAAGTAGGGTGGAGAAAATATTGACCAACTTCATTTCTAACTTCTACTTTCATTGGGATCATAGCTGCTAATAAGTGTGCAGTGCGGGAATCAGTGTTTTTACTCTCCTGAAATAGCCTCTGTTATGATTTCTACCCTCCACCATTATTATGGAAACAGCCGTTGCTCCTCTGCATCGGTCCTCTTATTTCTTTCTTCTTTTTTTTCTGTTAAACATATAGCTGCATTTATAGTCAGTGTTACATTTTTCAAAGCAAGACTTTCTCTTTTAATGAGAACGACCTGAGTATGGCTCTCCACATGTTCAGAAGTCACATTCTACAAAGTAGACTGAGCTGTGATATCAAATATTCCCCTGAATATAGTAACCCTGAGCTTGCAGTTTAAACAATCCAGTGTGGGTACTTGTAGGCAGATGTGTGTGTCTGTGCCTAACAATCAGAGCAAAGTTCACCTTGTGGCCACACAGAGACCCCTCCCCACTCCTGTCCTCAGTGCAGGTACTAACAGCTCTGTCACTGAGCAGGATATGGATGAGTTTTCAAAAGAGCACGATGGGATACACACTGAATCTAGAGGATCTTTGATTCCCTTCCATTGGATGAGAAAACATCTGGAGAAGTTTTGACCCAATATTTTAGGTGGATTTGGAAACATATGTTTGACTAAGAAAAAAGGTACTTTCTATCATAGATGATATTTTGATTCTCGGAATCTCAATGAAATGAAAATCTCGGGACACAAAGCAACAGTCTCAAGTCAGGAGCATCTCTTGCCATTTTGTGCCCCGTCCAATGTGATGCCCAAACATTATTCCAGACAGCAGGTGGGACCCTGCTCTGGACTGAAGGTGTGTCTTGTTTCTTATCCATATCCCGGAAGTGGAAACAGGAGCCCTTGCTCAGGTTTGGGGGCGGGGTGGACAGAGAGGAAATTTCCTAAGAGTTCACAGTGAATGAAGGGTCAAGGGATATCCGATGGGTTACGTTTTCTGGAACAGAGATGAAGAATCTCTGAAAATTCAATTAAATTTTTAAAAAACCTCTGTACTCTTTGCTGTTGTAACATGTTCAAGGCAGAATACGACTCATGGGAAATCCAATAAGGATTCACCATCAAAAGTGGGTAGACAATAACTTTCCAGCAGGTGGTTTGCTTTGGTTATTTTCCCACTGCAAACGTATGGCATATTTAAAGGATAAACCAAGAAGGAAGCAGTGGACATTAGCCAGTGTTGTGGAGAAAGAAGATCTGGACTATTTGTGCATTTTTTCCTTAATGAGGACAAAACATGTGCTTACTGGCAGAGGACTCCCTCCTGCTCTAGGGGATCCCTCCTAATGGAGGCTGGGTGGCAGCCGGAGGCTCTTGGGGGAGTTCTGGCAGCTCTTAACATCCACAAGGCAGAGGCTCCAGATCAGCTTCCGGGTGGTGGGGGGCGAGTGTGGCCGCATCTGGGGTCCCTGCCTTCGGATCAAGGAGCCACAGAGAGAAAGCAACAAGGGTGTAGACAGGAGCTCACACTGAAAGTCTGGGGAGCAGGAGTTCCGAGTTTGGACCTGATAATCCTCTCACTGGAGCTTGTTCCAAGGGTGGTGGGGAGGTGTGGGGAGTTTCCAGTGCGCCTAACTTACTGCTTCTCTGGGTGGTCCTGGGCTGTCCGGGGAGGGGTGGAGTTTAGTGCAGACCCTGATTCCCGTGATGACCTTTACCCGCCGGGTGCAGACGGCAGGACACGGAGGGAAACCCTAGACCCTGGGTTTGCTGCTTGTTTTCTCAGATGGTCCTGTGTCGAGTGTCCCCAAGACCACAGGCAACTACTTTTGTCATTAAGCAGACCCACAAGACTCAGTAGAGAGGTGTCCTGGTGGCTGTGATTTCCTTCAGTGAAGGGAGACCAAGCAAAATCAACAAAGGGCTTGGTGGATGAGATGAAATCTGAGGAAACGAGGATAAACTTCCAGGAAACCTTTCCCAAGGTCGGGCTTCATCACCACAGTTAAATGGTGACAACCTGTGTGAAGAATTGTCCCCCAGGGAGCCTCATCAGACCCACAAGACTCTTCCTGGAGGCTGGTCTCCTAGGCATCCTGTGCCTGCCATCTACCGAAATTCCAGATTCCCGCTGGGGAGCAGGTCAGGGGTTCAGAATAAACCATAATGTTGCAGGAAAGTGGAGACTCAGGGGGTCATTCTCCTTGGGGAATAGCCTAAACCTTCCTGAAATCTCATCACAAGACACAAACCAAGGGCGAGTCTTGTGGGCAGGTCTATCTAGGGACATTAGTCTCAGGCTGTGGGGTAACTCTGATGTGCACAAATCCTACGTGTATTCCTACGCCTGAGTTCAGGCCCTGGATCCAAGGGAAATCCAACATCTCACCATCAGGTCTAGGTTATGTTCTATTGCAGGATGTGCTCTGTCTCCGTGAAGAAACACACACACGGCCCCACACAAATACAGACAGACAGACACACACACACACAGACACACACCCAGCGCCATCACTCCTGGGTCCCCTCCACAATACCCAGGAAAGGAGCAGGAATCTGTTCTGTGGGGACCTGGAGCTCCTTCTGCATCACCCCCGGGGCCCTGTGCCCAGAGGCAGGAGCATAAACCCTGGGATGCAAAGGACAATTACACCAACTGTCAGCTTTCCTCATACTCAGGAACTAGACATTTCAGATACTGAGAAAGTGACAATCCTGGGAAAGACCGGTCAGCCCTGATTCTCTGTCTAGAAAACACAACGGGTCCAGCATCTGGACACAGGTGTCTGACCTCAGGGAGGCGCCAGCTCTGGGGTGAGCCCATGGCGGGGATGAGGAGGGACAGGGTCGCTGGTGCTGAGCTGGGAGGAGGAGGAGGAGGAACAATTTGGGGGCTCAGAGCTGGGGGCTCAGCCGCACTCAGCTGCCTCCCTGGGGCTTGGTCATCCCCATCTAAGGCCAGCAGGAGGCAGCAAGGGCCTGGGTTTGGGGAGGCTCTGGTCTGGTTTCCTGACCTGTATGAAGCCCCCAGGTGCTGCCTCCTGAGCCCCCTAAAGGAGAGTGTGGGGTCAGTGTCCTCAATCTGTTCTGCTTCGTAAGCCCTTTGCTAGGAAGGCCAATAAAGGTCCCAGGGCCCCTCCTCCGAGCCCTGCAGAGGCAGGGGACAGGGGGGCAGGGGGCCCGTCCTGCTGAGGGGACAGGTGAGGGAGGGGGATGCACACCCCCAGCTCCCCTGTGGTGCCGGGAGGAGACGGGATGCAATCTCTACGTCACCCCAGCCCCTCGGGCCCCTGTCCTCACCTTCTACCCGCAAAACCCAAAGAGTGGTTATCGGGATTATTGGCCAACGACATCTTGACTGAAATAGTGGATGACAGGGACATCCCAGGATGGCCTCATTTCCTGGGCCCTGTAATGGTCAGTATCCTGACTAAAGACAACGTGTCACAGAGTTTTCATCCTCTCAGATGAGCCCTGCTGTCCATGGATGCCTCCAGAGCCAGGTCAGAGGGGTGAGGAGAGAGTGAGCAAGGGCAGGTGCAGGAATCTGATTTGCATGGAGGCCCCTCCCTCCTCTGAGGGGTTGGGGATAAGAGAGGTCTGGGGGTGCAGGCCCAGGGCTGGGGCTCAGAAGGCAGCGTCTGGGGCGTCTCCACCATGGCCTGGGCTCTGCTCCTTGTCACCCTCCTCACTCAGGGCACAGGTGAGGCCTCCAGGGAAGGGACCTCGTGGACATCTGGCTGATCCTTTGTGTCTTTGTCCTCAGGATGACAGAACTGACCAGAGTGTGTTTCTCCTCTTTGCAGGGTCCTGGGCCCAGTCTGGCCTGTCTCAGCCTCCCTCAGTGTCCGGGAATCCGGGACAGACGGTCACCATCTCTTGTGCTGGAACCAGCAATGACATAGGGAAATATAACGCAACGGTCACCATCTCTTGTGCTGGAACCAGCAATGACATCGGGGGTTATAACCGTGTCGGCTGGTATCAACAGCTCCCAGGCATGGCCCCCAAAACCCTGATTTATGAGGTGAATAAACGGCCCTCAGGGATCCCTGATCGCTTCTCTGGCTCCAAATCTGGAAACACGGCCTCCCTGACCATCTCTGGGCTCCAGGCTGAGGACGAGGCCGATTATTACTGTAGCTCCGCTAGAAGTGGTAACACTGTGCACCGTGGTCCAAGTTCATGGGGAACTGAGACCAATATCTCCTCTGAGATCACTCAGCCCTTCACTCCTAAACTGAGGCTTTCATTTGCTTTTGTTATCCGTTTATTTAGAAGCAATTATGCACTTAAACAAAAATGTATCGGTTACATAGAGAGCTGCTGCATAACCTTGTTCCAGATTCACGAATTTTAAATACTTTGCCATAATCGCTTTTCTCATATCCCGTTTTCTCTCATTCCCTCTCTGCATCTGTATGTCTATACACACACACATCCATATGCACACACAGCACACACTCAGGAACACCAAACATTTATATTCTGAATCATTTGAGAGTAATTTGTATCTATCAGCAACCAAGTCTTCGTATTTTTTCTTACATAGGATTCATGATCCATAACATACATCATTTTAAGGTGAATGATCCAGTGGTTTTTAATAGAGTCACAAGTTTGAACATCCACTAACATTCTATCTTCCAGGATATTTTTCATCCTCATAAAAGGAACACCTCATCCGTCACCAGTCAATCCCCTTTCCTTAGTCCCTCCAGCTCTCAAAACCATTTTTTTATAGATTTATTTATTTTATTTATTTACTTTTGGCTGCATTTCGTCTTCATTGCTGTGCATGGGCTTTCTCTAGTTGTGGCGATCGGGGGCTACTCTTCGTTGAGGTGTGCAGGCTTCTCATTGCAGTGGCTTCTCTTGTTGCAGAGCACGGGCTGTAGGCGTGCAGGCTTTCGTAGTTGTGGCATACGGGCCCTAGAGCGTGCGGGCTTCAGTAGTTGTGGCACGTGGACTCAGTAGTTGTGACTCGCAGGCTCTAGAGCGCAGCCTCAGTAGTTGCGGTGCACGGGCTTAGCTGCTCTGCGGCATGTGGGATTTACCCAGACCAGGGCTCGAACCCGAGTCTCCTGCAATGGCAGGCGGATTCTTAACCACTGTGCCACCAGGGAAGCCCCTCGAAACCATTAATATACTTCCTGCCTGTTCTAGACTTTTCACACGAATGCAACCATACCGTATGTGGCCCTTTTCGCCTGGCGCCTCTCACTCTTTATAATATTTTCAAGGTTCTTTCCCGTTGCAGCACATATGAGAACTTCATTCATTCTTTTTGCCAAATAATGCCACATTGTCAGCATCGACGTACTTGCTTGAACATCTGGGTAGACACAGGCATAAGCACCAGATGGCTTTCCCATCTTGCGAGAACTTTCCCAGTTTTAGCCCTGAAAGTGCCCTGTCCTGCCTGGGACTTCAATCTGGGGCAAATCAGGGTGGATCGTCGCTGAGATGGTTAATTTTATGTGTCACTTTGACTGGTCACAGGGGACTCAGAGGAAGCATCACTTCTGGATGGGTCCGGGCAGGTGTTCCTGTATGAGATGAGCATTTGAATCTGGGGACTCAGTAAATACATTGCCCTCCCCAGTGTGGGTGGGCATCGCCCAATCTGTTGAGGGTCTGTGTAGAGCAAAAGGAAAAGGCAGGAGGATTTCACGTCTGTGTTCTCTTCTCACTGGACGAGCTGGGACATTTCACCTCAACTTCTCCAGCCCTCAGACTGGAATTTACATCACTGGCTCCCCTGGCTCCCAAATCTTTGGACACAAACTGAATTACATCACCAGCTTTCTCAGCTTTCTAGGTGTAGAGAGTGGCTCCTGGGACTTCCTTGCTCAATAATCAATACCAATCTCTCTCTCGCTCTCTCCCTATGTATATGTATTCCTTACAAAAATTCTTCTTTTTTTATATGTATATATTTTTATTTGTTTTGTTTCCCTAGAGAACCCTGGCTACTACAGTCCTCTTACCAGGAAGCTCTATCTTCTCATAATGTTCCCATCATAATTATTTTTTCTAAGCTTTTACCTGTTACCTTC